TACTGGCCAAAAGTGCAATGATGTCAACGAAAATGTCACATGAGTGCAAAAAAGTACCGAGCTTCTTGGGGTAGTTATTTATTCTTTACCTACAGCGATATACTATTATACGCTCAGCTCATCAACAATAGGACGAGTTTTAATTAAGCGTCAAAACAGTTGAATTACCGTATTAGTACTTAATGTATCATTTGGCGGTTTACTCTTCGCAATGATTCTTGATACGGAATTAGCGTACTGGAAGAAAGTCGACTCGATATAAGAATAATGTTAATTGCAGATGATCGTCACATATAGGCCATGTACAGTATATTCAATTCCATGGCAAAAGGAGATAAATACGTCATTTGAATTGTTATGTGTGATATCAGTTCAAACTTAATATGTAAACTTTATTAGATATATTAATGTGGTATAAAAATTGGTTGGTACAATTTTTACTCTAAAACATTTTGGCTTGATTCTCATGACAAGAACACGGGGTTCCTTATTATTGACTTCAACAGCCGTTCCGTTTGTTTCAGAATATGTCGACTGCAGTTTTTTTTTCCGAGTACGCTGATTGTTGTTATGATCAGGAGCTATAAAACTTGCGTACCGGTTTCCATGGTACTATTCGGGGTTTTTCACTACCTTGTCAACATATTTTGGAACGGTACTTGTCAAGAACGTCATTTATCGATTTATGTGTCTCAAGCACACCTTTGTAAGATGCTGCTCAATGATTCTGCTACTGACAGAATCTGAATCGTTTATGCCGATGTCGTCATCGTCGTTATTGTTGTTGTTACCGTTCTGCCGCCACTGTTGTTGTTGTTGCTACTGCCATTGCCCCCATTATCATCGCTTTCATTGTTGTTGTAATTGTCATCCAGCATTTTAGATGGGTCATAGTAATAGACACAGCGCATTTTCCAACCGAACAATGCTTGATAGGGGCGTGCGAAAATCACTGTTGAGTTATAAGTCATGACAAAGGCATCAATAATATTAGCCCAACTTTTTCTTATTACTATCCACAACAATTTTGATTAAGCTACGCCCAATCGTCTGGTTCAGCCTCTCGATTTTATTAGCTAACGGTACATTTATCAACTTTCATGATTAAACGTATTCTTACATCCCATATTGTCTCAAAGAAGATGTAAAATATCTCTATTACCATAATTACAATTTATTTGAAACGTACAATATTTTATTACGAGTTTGTATCGTACACAATTGCTTTCGCTGCAACGTACAATATCTATTATCGTGTTTACAATTTGTCTGAGAACTGTTCTTATCGAACAAGAATAGCCGAATTGGAAATAAAATATTTATATTGTTTGGGTTTATTCACGAAAATGTGTAACTTTAAACAGCAATAAATAGAAAAATTATATCCCTCATTTATGATTATGACACAAAACTCATAATAAAAATATTGTGCAATTTCATTATTTTGTATATCCAAACATGCTAGTTGAAAAAGACTTTCCAGAAAGCGAGGTTAAAAAATTCAACAAAACTCCATCAAAAACGTGCATTCAATGGTTATTTAGGCGCGCACAAACGAAAGCACATAATTAGAAAAATCAATTAGCTAACAGTTTATCTGAACATCAAAATATACAAACCTGATATCAAAAACCCAACCGATAACATTGAACATAATAGAGAAATCCATATCGATTAATTATCTCAACTAGTTGGCGAATTGACAGATGAAAATAATAATTTATCTGACTTCGATGTCCAGGATGAAAATAATTCGATTTCTCAAATTGTTGAAAAATTCGAGACGAATTTGCAGAGGGCAATGAATACAAACGGAAGTAAGTATCATACATCTTCGATACTGTTAAAAAACAAAAACGTTAATACATATTTAACAGAAATTAGAAGACGAATTCTTCCACCCGTGATCCAAAAAATATTGCCACGATCGGTTATCACTGCGGTCAGTCAAGCGTACAATTTAAGAATACAAACAAGAAAAAATTAAACGTTACGAATGTAAATGCAGCATACTTGGGTACAGATAAAGCACACGCGTTTTACGAAAGGTGCCCGATCTGTCAACTGGAGTGTCAGATACAATAGTTATGAAATTCGAAACAATTGTCAGCTAGATCCTTTGCAGCTATGTACTCACTTAGCATCCTGACAATGACTAAATGATCTCAACAAATCGTAGAGATTGAACCAGACGATGCGTAGGCATTGAGAGAAAGAAGATTCGTCTATTTCAATCATCATCAATTTTGATAATTTTTGACAAGCAAATTTAAACAACACAAAATTTGTAATCTCATATTTACTGCCATATGTATTATTATGTATAGCAGTCATTTATATAAAATGTTTACTTATATACATACAATATTGTAAGTATCATGATGATGTTCCACATTTAGTGACATTGTTTTAATCAACGCGGCGGTGCTGGAAACGACTATTCTACAAGAATAGAACTACATTAAGGCTGTTAATCACAGTCAAAAGTATGCTTCTATCCATCAATGAGAGCACAAACATATAGACATATAAAGCATGTATATTAATATAAACAAAGAAAAAGATGCTAAATTTAAACCATTTTTATTTCAAGTTAAATTATTTAATTTGTTATAACTAGTAATGACGAAAGCGAGTCAATACAGTAAAGTCACATCATAATAAATAAATTTACTTTTCATATTATTACGTTGTATTGCAATCTTTTATTTGCGTCATTTATGACTCCAAACATCGGGATAACACCCCTTTCAAATGGTGCTGGATGTTAAGGTGATAGATAGAAATACTT